GGCAGATGGAGTTTAATTTAGATAACTGTGAGGTTTAGCATTTTGGAAAGGCAAATCAGTGCAGGACTTATACACATCGTGGTAAGGTTCTGGGGAGTGTTGCTAAACAGAGGGACCTTGGAGTGCAGGTTCATAGTTCCTTGAAAGTGGAGTCTCAATTAGACAGGGTAGTGAAGAAGGCATTTGATATGCTTTCCTTTATTGGTCAGTGCATTGAGTATAGGAGTTGGGATGTAATGTTGCAGCTGTACAGGACATTGGTTAGGCCGCTTTTGGAATACTGTGTTCAATTCTAGTCTCCTTGCTGTAGGAAGGATGTTTTGAAACTTGAATGGGTTTAGAAAGATTTACATTGATGTTGCCAGCGTTGGAGAGTTTCAGCTGTAGGGAGAGGCTGAATAGACTGGGGCTATTTTCCCTGGAGTGTCGGAGGCTGAGGGGTGACCTCATAGAGGTTTATAAGATGATAATGGGCATGGATAGGGTGAATAGATAAGGTCTTTTCCATGGGGTGGGTGAGTCCAAAACTAGAGGGGCATAGGTTTAGGATGAGAGGAGAAAGATTTAAAAGGCACCTAAGGGGCAACCATTTCATGCAGAGGATGGTGTGTGTGTGGAATGAGCTGCCAGAGGAAGTGGTGGAGGCTGGTACAATTACAACATTTAAAAGGCATCTGGATGGGTATATGAATAGGAAGGGTTTAGAGGGATATGGGCCAAATGCTGCCAAATAGGACTGGATTTATTTAGCATGTCTGATTGGCATGGATGAGTTAGACTAAAGGGTCTGTTTCCATGCTGTACAGCTCTATGACTCTATGACCTGACCACTACCTGTCGCTTCACCTGGGTTCTGCCAGGGCCATTCAGCTCCCGATCTCATTACAGCCTTGGTTCAAACACTGACAAAAGAGCTGAATTCCAGTGGTGAGGTGAGAGTGACAGCCCTTGATGTCAAGGCTACATTCGACTGTGTGTGGCATCAGGGAGCCTCCGCAAAACTGGAATCAATGGGTATCAGGGCAAACTCTCCACTGGTTGGAGTCATAGCTGGTACATAAGAAGATGGTCATGCTTCCTTAGAGTTTCATCATCTCAGCTCCAGGACATCTCTGCAGGAGTTCCTCAGCGTAGTGTCCTAGGCCCAATCATCTTTAGCTGCTTCATCAATGACCTTCCCTCCATCATGAGGTCAGAAGTGGGGATGTTTGCCAATGATTACACAATGTTTAGCATCGTTCACAACTCCTTAGATACTGCAGCCGTTTGTGTTCAAATGCAACAAGATCTGGACAATATCCAGGCTTGGGCTGATAAGTGGCAAGTAACATTTGCGCCACACAAATGCCTAGCAATGACCATCTCCAATAAGAGGCAATCCTCCACCATCCCTTGATATTCAATAGTGTTACCATCACTGAATCCCACATTATCAACATCCTGGGGGTTATCATTGACCAGAAACTCAATTGGACTTGCCATATAAACACAGTGGCTACAATAGCAGGTCAGATGCTAGGAATACTGTGGTGAATAACTCGCTTCCTGACTCCCCAAAGCCTGTCCACCATCTACAAGGCACAAGTCAGGAGTGCAATGGGATCTTCCCCACTTGCCTGGATGGGTGCAGCCCCAACAACACTCAAGAATCTTGACACTATCTAGAACAAAGCAGCCCCCACTTGATTTGCACCACATCCACAAACATCCACTCCCTCCACCACTGGCGCTCAGTAGCAGCAGTGTGTACCATCTACAAGATGCACTGCAGAAATTCACCATAGATCCTCAGACATCACCTTCCAAACCCACGACCACTTCCATCCAGGGGACAAGGGCAGCAGATACATGGGAACACCACCCCCTGCAAGTTCCCCTCCAAGCCACTCACCATCCTTTACTGTCACTGGGTCAAAATCCTGGAATTACCCTCCCTAAGGGCATTGTGGGTCAACCCACAGCAGTGGACTGCACCACCACCTTCTCAAGGGGCAAATAGGGATGCGCAATAAATGCTGGCCAGCCAGCAATGCTCACATCCCACAAATTAATTTAAAAAAAAGTGGCAGGTTTCAGGAGGAAGAAATGGGTAGGCACTTGGCTCAAAATTTGGATTTAAATATGGAGGAAGGCAGAAGCCTATGGATAATGAGACACACTTGAATGAAGCGGAGTGCAAAGGGACTTGAGACAGAACCATGACAATGGAGGACCCACGTTCAGAAGACATGCACAATCTTTCATTCAGGCATTCAAGCTCATTGTGTGTTGTGTGACCCAAGAGGATTTTGGTTCTCTCTGGTTGTAACTCGAACCTCTCTCTGTACTTTGGTTTCAGGTATGGCCTCAAAAGGGAAAGAACTGTCTGCTGTCCCACTGCAGTCTGTGAGTATCAGGGCCGGGATGGTCATATCCTCTTTGAAATCCCAGTCTGAGTTTTGCCAGGGCCATCTACTTGATGGCCATTAATTTTGTTATTGGTTTATTTCACTTGTATTTAACTTAAACTTGTACCCCCAGTGCATTAGTCAACTGACATAACCACTATGCTGCTGTGCCCCATAATATGCTCTAGGTCGGGTCGAGCAGCGCGGTGGCTTAGTGGTTAGCACTGCTCCCTCAGGGATCCAGATTCGATTCCAGCCTTGAGTGACTGTCTGTGTGGAGTTTGCACGTTTTCCCCATGTCTGCATGGGTTTCCTCCGGGTGCTCTGGTTGCCTCCCACAGTCCAAAGATGTGCAGGTTAGGGTGGGTTGGCCATGCTAAATTGCCTATAGTGTCTGGGGAAGTACAGGCTAGGTGGGTTAGCTGGGTCTGGGTGGGATGCTTTTTGAGGGTCGGTATAGATTAGATAGACTGAATGACCCACTTCCACACTGTAGGGATTCTGTGATGATTCTGTAATGAGAAACTCTCAGTAGCATTTGTACCAAGCACTGTTGCTTGAATCATAGAATCCCTACAGTGCACATAGAGGCCGTTTGGCCCATGGAGTCAGCACTGACTCTTTGAAGACCATCCCACCCAGACCGATTCCCACACCCTATCCTTATAATCCTGCAATTACCATTAACCCACCCAACCTATGCATCCCTGGACACTATGGGTATTTTAGCACGGCCAATCCACCTAGCCTGCACATCTTTGGACTGTGGGAGGAAACCGGAGCACCCGGAGGAAACCCACGCAGACACGGGGAGAATGTGCAAACTCCACACAGACAGTCACCCGAGGCTGGAATTGAACCTGAGTCCCTGGTGCTGTGAGGCAGCAGTGCTAATCACTGGCCCCCCCGAGCTAGTCACCTCTAAATGCCCTTGGACTATGGCACATGTAAGCCAGACTAGGTAGAGATGTCAGATTTCCAGCCCAAAAGAGGGTGTTAGTGAACCCAGATAATATTTCCATGGGTGTTATTCCAGAGTTATTGAGCTGGCTGCCATGGAGGGATTCAAACCTGTCTCCTCCGTGTTAGCCCAGGCCCCTGGATACTTGTCCAGTGACATTAGCCCTATGCCACCATCTGCCCGCAGATGTGAGACACATTACGTTGCGCATTGCCCTGATGCAGGTGCATGCAGCCATAGTGCTGACATGTAAAGGCTTCTCTGCACTCCTGTCAGCTGGGAGTTGGAACCCGGAAAGCTCAAGATGAGAGCTCGCTGTTATACGAACAAATAACCAGTGCTCATTTATTTTCTGATTTATCTTTCAGCCCGCTTCCTCTGCTGTGGAGCCAGTTCAAAAGGGAACCTAATGAAGAAGGCAGTAATATTCCAGTCGAGGTTTGGATCTACAATTGAGTTTGTGCCATTTGTTTCTGTTTCTGTCGGTTGTTGCATGAAGCATTGCTTGAAACGGTGGAAAGACTGTAAACTGTCAGTCAATGGACTTACTTTGTTGCCAACTAAGTGATTCACTTTTTAATAGAAATGTTTAGTTGTCTTGCTGGAACCAGCCTGATTCATTTTCAAATGACTTTTGCCAAAATGACCTGTTCTCATCTCATTTAACTATTGCATTGCATTTCAACAGTGCTTCATTGGTGATGAAGTGCTTTGGGACATCCCGTGGTCACAAGTGGTGCTATATAAGTGCAAGTCTTTTAGCACTCCACAAACCGAAGCATTGAGGTCGATAGGAAAATAAGATTCCCTTTTTAGTTCCTTGTGCTGCTCTAAACTCCACCAGGTAATGGATTCTGTCACTAAGTGATGAGGGGAATCTGTATACCACGATAACTCATGTGTTTCCTCCCTCTCCAACCCCAGTTTCATATTGTAATATTTTCAGAAGTTGCCGCCAACGTAAGCAAATTGTCCAAACATTTTCTTCATATATGCCCTTTGTAAAGTGTTTTAATGAGGGAACGCTATTGTGAAACAGCGCCATGTGTTAAGCTGTCAGGGAATCCAGGCAAGATGTCCAGGTTTTGCCATTCCATTCCCACCTCATTCACCACTTTACAAGTTTGCTCCCTCCACCACCAACACTCAGTTGCAGCACTGCAGAAACTCACCACAGATCCTTAAACAGCACCTCCGAAAACCCATAACCACTTCCATCTAGAAGGACAAGGGCAGCAGATACATGGGAACACCACCACCTGCAACTTCCCCTCCACCCCACTCACCATCCTGACTTGGAAATATATCGCCGTTCCTTCACTGTCGCTGGATCCCAATCTTGGAACATACTCCCGAAGGGTATTGTGGGTCTACCTCCAGGACACAGGATATTCAAGAAGGCACCTGCCAAGAGCAGTTTGCTAGTGCTACTCACAGCCAATGAATGTTTTAAAAAAGGATGAAATTGGGAGGGATATCCGAGGGCAAGTTAGGAGGAGAGTGGGTCGGATGTTAGAGTGAATGGGAACTGAGGGTGAGAGTGGGGTTGGATTTGGCAGGACATTAACGGGTGTCTGGATGAATGGAGGAAGAGTACAGTTAGACCATGTAGGATGTGAACGGGAGAATGGGATTAGACTGGGTGGGATGGTGAAAGGTGATGGGAGTGTGGGATTGGGTGGGGTGATAAAAGATGAAAAGGATTGGAATAAATTATATGTTCTAAGATGTGGGGAGTGAGCAAAACAGTGACATCAGAATAGATGTGTCCTTTATATTCACTGATTGCATGGGGATGTCACTGGCTGGGTCAGCATTTATCACCTGTTCTGAATTATCCTTAAGAAGCTGCGTTGAGCTACTCCGGTCTTTGTAATGGCAGGGCACATACAGTGCTGTTGGGAAGGGAGTTCCAGGCTCCTGACCCATGGAAGAGGAGTGATATATTTCCAAGTCAGTGGGACTTGGAGGGTACCTTGCCAGATGGACAATAACCTTGTTGTGAAGACCAGACTTTGTTTCCACAAGTACTGTGTGGTGGTCACTCCTACCAGTTGTATCCTAGGCAGATGCATCTGTGACAGCTCGAGTGAGTCCATTGTTGAACATATTGGACTTGTTTCATTCTGCCATGCACTTCAGTGGGTACATGTCCCTTGTTTTTACTGTCAGTTAGAGTTAGAGTGTGAGATTGTACTATTCATTCTATCAGTAGGCGATGGCCTAGTGATATTATCGCTAGACTATTAATCCAGAAACCCAGCTAATGTTCTGGGCACCCGGGTTTAAATCCCGCTGATCACAATGAAATCATTGCCGATTGTCGGAAAATCTGCCACCCTCACCTTGACTCTCAATTGCCCTCTGAAGTGGCCTACTTAGTTGTACCAATTGCTACAAAGTCTCAAAGAAATGAAACCAGATGGATCACCTGGCATCGACCTAGGCACCAGAAAAGACAACAGCATAAACAGCCCAGTCGACCCTGCAAAGTCCTCCTCACTAACATCTGGGGGTTTGGGCTAAAAATTGGGAGAGCTGTCTCACAGACTAGTTAAACAACAGCCTGACAGTCATACTCGCAGATTCATACCTTACAATGTCCCAGACATCACCGTCACCATGTCCTGTCTCACCAGCCGGACAGACCCAGCAGAGCGATCGGCACAGTGGTATAGAGTTGGGAGGGTGTTGCTCTGGGAGTTCTCAACATTGACTTTGGATCCCATGAAGTCTCATGGCTTTAGGTTAAACGTGGGCAAGGAAATCTCCTGCTGATTACCACATACCGTCCTCCCTCAGCTGATGAATTGGTATGCCTACGTGTTGGACAGCACTTAGAGGAAGCACTGAGGATAGCAAGGGCACAAAATGTATTCTGGGTGGGGGATTTCAATGTCCACCACCAATAGTGACTCAGCAGCAGTACTACTGATCGAGCTGGTCGGGTCCTAAAGGACATAGCTGCTAGACTGGGTCTGCGGCAGGTGGTGAGGGAACCAAAAAGAGGGGAAAACATACTTGACCTCATCCTTACCAATGTGCCAGCTGCAGTTGCATCTGTCCATGACAGTATTGGTAAGAGTGACCATTGCACAGTCCTAGTGGAGATGAAGTCCTGCCTTCACATTGAGAATAACTTCCATCGTGTTGTGTGGCACTATCACTATGCTCAATGGGACAGACTTTGCACAGATCTAGCAACTCAACTGGGCATCAATGAGGCACTGTGGGCCATCAACAGCAGCGGAATTGTACTCTAGCACAATGTGTAACCTCATGGCCCGGCATATCCCCCACTCAACCATTACCATCAAGCCAGGGGATCAATCCTGGTTCAATGAAGAGTGCAGGAGGGCATGCCAGGACCAGCACCAGGGATACCTGAAGATGGGGTATCCACCTGGTGAAGCCACCAAACAGAACTACTTGCACACCAAATAGCAAAAGCAGCAAGTGATAGACAGTGCTCAGCGATCCCAGGACCAACGGATCAGATCTAAGCTCTGCACTCCTGCCACATCCAGTTGTGAATGGGGGTAGACATTTAAACAACTCACTGGAGGAGGAGGCTCCACAAATATCCGCATCCTCAATGATGGAAGAGCCCGACACTGGATATTGCAAAGACTACGGGCCCTGACAACATTCTCTCAATTGTACTAAAGACTTGTGC